CATCCATTCCTTTTCCTTCTGGTAACTTCTCCCTGTCGCACCCCGAGGCCAGTTTTTTAGGGCGGGCCGTAGGTTTCTTCTGAGACCTGCTCACCATTTATGACCCTGAGGCTCAAAAACTGACAACAGTTTCACATATGGAGGGCGGGTCGTTTTCAAAATGTGGCTCTCGCCTCAGCGCCGCGCACATTCGTTGTTAAACTTGCAAGAGTTTCGCATATTGAAAGCGGATGGTTTTCAACATGTGGCTCTCGCCTTAGTGCCGCGCACATCCTTTTAAACTTTGCAAGAGTTTCGAATATGGAAAGCGACTGGTCTTGAACATGTGGCTCTCGCCTTAGTGCTGCGCACATTCGTTAAACCTAATTGCACGAGTTTCACACATTGAGGGCGGTTCCTTTTCAACATGTGGCTCCCGCCTTAGCGCTGCGCACATTCGTTTTCATTTTGCAAGAGCTTCACGGATTGAGGGCGGTTCCTTTTCAAAATGTGGCTCCCGCCTCAGCGCCGCGCACATTCGTCTTTGAAATTAACCAGAGTTGCACGGATTCCCATGATCAGCACGCCAGCAATGACGGCTTGGAAGGATTCGGGACTATGATGTGCGGTGTTAAAGTTCCAGGAATTGCGTTTTGACACAATTGAGGATCGTCAAGACGCAACAATCAGGTTGATCCGTGGCGTTGGAATCCCGAGAACAATGTATTGACATGCTTCAAGGTATTCAAACGGTGTCTTCCAACGAGGCAGTTCCCTAAGTGGAAATGAACGCTTGTAGGGGCCCATGAAGAGGGAGCTTGGAGGGAGGGATTTTTCAGCATCGTTGATGGCTCTTGGGAATACATTGGTCCTCCTCATCATCCACCTTCACCTTCTCTTCTCCCTCCTCATGTTGCTCTTCCCTCCTCCGCCCTCCGCCTCCTCCTCCTCCTCCTCCTCCTCCACTTCCTCCTCACTCCGTCTCCTCCTCCTCTCCCTCCTCGGCCTTGCCGTGCACGCGCTGCCAACTATCAATGAACAGAATGTTGGGGACCCCAAAACATTATTTGCACGCTGGGGCCAGGGAGTAGCCCCAAGGCCTAAGTTTCATGACCGAGGGGGGTTGCCCCTCCAAACACTTGCCTGTCAGCACAGATTCCCCTTCGGTTCTAAATCGTGTTTGCTAGCTGACACTTTAGCCGCCAACTCCCACCACAGCCAATGCTCTTTGACGAGATCGCTACAGAAGCTGGGATGGGTGGGTGGGTGTGAGCGTGGGCGTTGGCGCGGGCGTGGGCCTGGGTGAGAGTGTGGGTGTAGGTGTGGGTGTGGGTTCGGGTGTGGGTTTTGGTGTGGGCGTCGGCTTGGGCGCGGGCGTGGGCGTTGGTGTGGGGGGTGGTGTGGCACGACTGTTTGGCCACCTTCTGGATCCTACGATCATTATGTTACATTTTCAAGCGCTCATCACTGAGAGCAAGGGCCAAGTTCAGCACATCGGGGGTGAACCCGTCGAGATCGAGGAAAGAGGCAAGGCCCAAGGCTGTATTC